ATAATTACTTTGTACCTAGCCGTTAAATATTTTTCATTGGTTGTATCCATCTTTTTAGCATAGACAATTAAAGACTTTCTGTAAGTTTCAAAATAAAATAATGTTTTATAGAAGATTTTTTTTTTGCAAATTCAATGCGTATAAATTTAGCTGCAAAATATTAACCAAATAAAAAGGTGAATTTGGAACCCAATACCTGCAGAATTTATTGCAACTTCACTAGAAAATATTACAAGCAAATGTTATTTTGAAAGACTCATAAAATTTAAATGAAAGAAGTTATGAGTCATAAAAGCCGATCAGTTCAAGACGAAAAAGAGACTTACTTTCATTAACGAACTCGTTTAAACAATGTAAGATATTCCATTTCAACAAAATAATCATGTCTTATTAAAGATCTTCTTAGTAAACCCAACTCAATATCAAATCTATATAAATATATATTTTTTTAAATTTCGCCTTCATCTTCATCTGAATTTATTTTGCAAATCACAACACAGATAAAATATCTTTTGTAACCTAACCATTCTTGAGAGATTACTTTAAACTGTCGTTTAAGTTAACTAAACATAGTTCACATGTCGGTCGAAACAAAATTATATTTAAATCAGAAATTATTACTTCAAACTTCGTTTAACACAACGGTGCAATCGGCCTTATTTTAAGAACTTTCATAAGTATTGTCCATTATCAAGGTCATACAGACCTCTAGAAGTTAGGCTCCTGCTTTGAGAATGAACAATCACAGATTTTCAAAAACTTTGTGAATACACAGGGATTCACTGTTAATACCAAAGAAACTGCTAAATTTTTAAATTGAATTCCCAAGTTTAAGTCTAACATATCTGTGACCTTCGTGATTTTGTAACAAATGAGTAAGCTCTCCTTAAGGTCAATTGGCTCCATAAAACAATTTTTAACATTAATTTGATAGCCACTGGCTATTCTCCATCTTAAAATGGTTAACTATGAGGAATTTGTTTGAAATTTTAAGGTTAAGTAATAATAGTCTTTTATCCATATGATTCAGATAAAGATAAAATGTTAGAAATAATTATTTTCTACAAATTTTATATATCCTGAGAGATTAATAGTTAGTAATTAATTTAATTCAGAATTAAAGCATTTTCAGATATAAACCAAATTCTTGGTAAAGGAGGCGTTTGTGTTTAGGTTAAAATGGTAGTTTATAACCTTTTAATCATGATATAATTACTTGATCCTGGTAAATTTGTTGCCTTGTGTAATAAAATTAGTTAATTTTAACTTCTGTTAATTTATTTAGTCCTAACCACAGTAGTCTAATCAACAAGTTCAAAAGCGTGTTTTTGGGACATACTATTACGAAAATTATGTTCAATAGCTCATTCGATTCGGAATAATGTCTAGATAAATGTGTAAAGAATAATTTTACAGTGCATAAAAAATTGCAAAAGTTATAAACAATTAAACACATCAAAAACATGGTGTTTGATTTTTCGCCTATAGTTTGTAAACTATAAATATTTTTGGATAGATGTCACATAAGCAGGTGTACTAAAGATGAATTTTGCAGGACCAAGCATCAGATAGGTATAACACTTGATATTCTGAAAACTATGCATACTACGCTAAATAAGAACGAATGGAAGTGTCAGAAGGAGGCTAAAGGCAAAAGATAGACGGAACAGAGCCGAATAGATAGATAAGTAATATTTTAGCCAGGAGAGTCGATGAGTGTTATAAATATAGTTAATTTATGAATGTATTTTTAATGTATAATTTCAGTTTATTTTCATTTTTGGTATAAAACTATGGCTGACATAATAAAACTCTTAAAAGTATATATATTTTCAATCTTTATTACTATACCATATTTAGTTTTCATTTATTCTCTCTGACCTAGGTAAAAGGTTAGAAAACCCTGGTCATAACTGTTTACAATGTTGGTGTTCCTAATGATACAAAACATTACAGAGGAATGATACTTAGCCGATGAAATCTCATCGAGTTCACGCATGACGTATTGTGGTATGGAATATGGCTATCTCTGATGCATCTGCAGATTTAAATTTATTTTTGCGTAGTGTTTTCTATCAACTGATACCCCAAATTTATACAAGCCACGTCTTTGCACCACAATGTGACATACCATCAAATCTGATTAATCTCGTACTTTTTTTTTTAAGTATCAAGGATATTCTTGGTGTAGCTGATCATCATGTTTCGAGTCATTGAACCTAAAAAATAACAAATATCAATAAATAGAATTAGGAATTTTTTCCAAAAATATTTTTCTATGGGAATTATATAGGATTTCTCGTTAATGTACTGACAAACTTTTAAAGGTGGTAGGTGCATCAAAATAAACATTTTTTTGCTTAATAAAATAAAAATAATTTTATTGCCCAACAAATTAATCCATTTACAGAACAAAATACATGAAACAAATGGTAAACATAATATTTCGACAGAAAATAATTTTAGCAACAGCAAGAAAAAAAGAGAAAAAAAAAAGAATCCTAAATACATTAGCTACAAATTAGTACAACTAATGGTCGAAATAAATATCCCAATCAAAACAAAATTGATTAAAATTTGAGCACATTAGCGTTATAGGTGAATTTCTTCCCAAGTTCGTTCAAATACTTGCTGTATAAAATGTTTTATGATATCTAATGGCTGTTTGGGGAAAATTAAAATTTATTTAATTTATCAAAAATAGTACATCAATAGTGTTGTGTAATATTTTATAAAAAAATGTAACACTGGAAACTACCCTTCTATTTTCGAAAGAAGCAGAGATTCTTCAATACCTCGAATGGGATACAGCTCATCTATTTTAAAAGAAAGGTACTTGAGAGATCGCCGCTGAACATTTTCCAATGATCTTTTACGAATATTGTAAATAAAGTTCCAGATTAAAGATGCATATTCTAGCCTGGAACGAACTAAAGAAAAGTAAAGGATCTCCAAGCTTTAAGAGTTTGTAAAAGAACGAGTATTACGAATTAAGAACCCTAAGGTTTTCAACGCAGAAGCAACGGTATTTTCAATATAATAAGAAAAAGTAACTTTTTGGTTGAATAATATACCTTAATCTTCAATTTGTGCACAAGTCCGATAAAGGTAGACTGTTAAATAAATAATCAAACTCCACCTTGTTAATACTTCTAGTATAGGAACATACTTTACATTTAGACACATTCATAAACAGCTTGTTTTCATTACACCAATTTTCAACGATTCCCAAGTTGGGTCTGTAAAAAGTAACAGTCTTGAATTGATGAGATTGAGGTAAATATTTTTAAGTCAGCAGCGAACAGCAGGTTAAATTCCAAGTCATTTATAAATATACTTAATAATAGTGGCCCCAGATTGGAGCTCTGTGGAACTCCAGATGTTGCTGTGAGGGGTGAAGATGAAAATCCGTTGAAAAAGACAATTAAAACGATGATTTAGGTAAGATGAAAATAATCTCAACAGCGACTGATCAAACCCTAAGCTTTTCAACTTCCTTACAAGAATATTATGATTTTTAATTATTACAAAATACATTATGGGCAGGTTGTACAAAAAATATTCTAAACATATTTTAACTAACAAGAGTTTTATTTTCAACTAGTTATATTTAAAAACAAATGTCATTTTTAAAACTATGTTTAACAATAACCGATGAGTATACAACAAGGTTCACAGTTTAAACTAAGTGTACATTTTAACTGCCTATTGTACAACCCGCCATATGTACAATTAAAAATTTATTGTATTTCTTTAAAATGCACTTGATTCTGTTGATCAAAACCATTCGATAAAAAAATTAAAAAGTATTGGTATAAAGGTGGTTTTTATATCTATGCTATAAAGCATGCATTGGGGCAGCATGTAGATTATCTAAATATCAGGTCAGAGAGATTAAAATTAAATAACATATGTAGTGGGATTCTCATCTTGCAGTACGTCTCCTATCGAGACTCCTATCTTTGTTCGACAGACAGCGATTTTGATGTAATGTCTCTCTCTATTCTGTATGTAATGTGTCGAGTTCGCACAAAAGAATCGCTGTCCTGATCAGAAGAAATTAACCACATCAAAGGAAGAAAATTAGGTCACCTGTTATTTTTAATTTATATTAATGTTTGTTGATGTGGCAATAATCAATATGACATTTACCTGTTTGCCTATGATGTCCTTATCTATGTTTCTTGTAAGTTGTAAGGATTCAGATAACTTAGTAAGAGTTAATTGTCAATGAAACTCTGCAAGATGTTTATAAATTATGTTGCAATCATTTGTTAAAAATCAACACAAATACCTAAAACAAAATATAAGCTGATAAGTAATAACTATATGCAGTTTGTGGACAAACGATATAGGAAATTGGAAGAAAATCTATACAGTTAGTAGAAAAATTCAAATATTTATGGGTAATTATTCGGAAACAGATGAAATTCACAGACCATATGCAAATACTGTTATCAAAACAATTGCAGTTAAATTACATTTCCCATTTAGAATGTTATTAAAATAATTGTTAAAAATAAAATAAAAACCAAAAACATACCTGGATCTACAATAATATATATAAATAATATAAGTACATTGCATCTTTTAAATTATTAAAGTCCATTAAATTGAAATGACACGTCAAACCATAAACGTCAAACTTTCAAAACAAACATGCTTGTGTTGTGTTTCAAACAGAAAAATAGCATTTATAGAATAATTTATTTACTTGCAACCTTTCCCCGCACACCACCTCGCCCCTCACCCAGAAACATGGTCAAATTGGGCTAAGCCATTTTACATTCGTCTGCATAGGGAGCGATGTTGCAATTTTTCAATTAAGTGTCTATTCCGTCTGTTCAGATGGCAGCATCTTATGGACCCTACATTTTTAAATCTTATCACAAGAATCCTGAAATAATTAGGCAAAAATAAAAGAATATGTTTTGCGTTTTAACTTTTAAATATTATAAAAAATGATGGAAAGTCCATAACTTTTAAATATTTGTTAAATATCACTTATTAAAATATTATGCATTAAAAGTAGAACAAACCATAGACTTTCCATTATTCTTTACAGTTTTTTGAACCCATTTATGAAAACAGTTTTTGAAAATATTATTGTTCAGAGCTGTATTTCTTGTGATAAAAAAGTTGCCGTCACTTGTCATTAACAACGCGTTGAACTTGGCCTTAACTGACCGTTGATTCACATACTGGATTGAGTTTATGATTTTTACTCTGAGTGACAGAGCGCGTTCGAGATGTTACTACATTCCATCTCTAACTTGACAGGACTCTGTTCATGCCCTGCCCACTCCGTAGGGCGTCAACTCGAACTTGCCCTAAGGAAACACAAAACCTTTGTCACTACAAATAGAATTCAAAAAATTTGGTGCGTACATTATTGGAATCTGGTACATAATAAAAAACCCTATTGTGGCATCACTGCCGTGATTGACATGACATCATGACAGCTCTTCCTTAGGTAAATGTTTTAAATAAAACAAATAATTAGATAGTTTATCTTCTTTTAAGTATATATAAAATTATGTAAAATATAAACCAGTAACTAGCCCGTTTTAAAGTGAATAATATACAGAAAGGGTCTACCTAGATCCCCAGGCATTAAATTATGCATATGAACAGTTATATGTACAAACATATTATACTAGTAACTAGCCTGTTTCACAGTGCATACTGTGTATTGTTTAATACTTAACAGTTGAATACATATATTTATATCTAAAACAGAAGGAACTTTATATTTTATAAAAGGTTTACCTTTGTAAATATTTCAGAATCATTTATTTATTTTATGCCGACCACCTTGTACATAACATCCTTTGTTTTGCTCTTGATGCTATAAAAACCCATGTTTCATCGTCGGTCATAACAAACAGGAAAGGATCCACATGAATCCACCAGGCATTGTCATACATATGACTTAGTTATAAACCATTAACCAGCCTGTTTTACAATAAATACGGGAAAAACCTGTATAGGTTCAAAGGCCATAAATCATATACATGATTCAGATATAAACCAGTAACTAGCCTGTATCACAGTGTATACTGTGTATTTTTTAATGCTGATCGATGGAGTATGAATTCATACCTAAAACAAACAAAAAAAATTGCAATTTATAAAAAGCGTTTACCATTTGTGCCGCCATTTTGTTCAACATCCATGTGATGTGATATTTGGTGTCGTTTTTTGTTCAACCAGCTTCTTTTTATAATTTTGTTTTTAAGTTTGTAATCCTCGGAGAATGTAGACTTCCCCGTTGTAAAAATGTTCTTCTTTGATTTACCCATTTATGTATTTTTGATAATTAATAATGATAAGCAAATTATTTACGTGTAACCACAAGTACGAAAAAGGAAGAATGACGAAAGAGTGTATCTGACTGCCACGGGACAGGAGCAGAGGTGGGAAGGACAACCAGTTATTTTGGAACCAGTTATTTTGGAGCTTTCTAAATACTTTTGAGGGAATTTAGACTTTAAAATACGTGGCCACAGAGTGGGAAAAGGAGGGTACTACCTATGATCATTGAGAACAAGGCGTGGAATATAATTGTATCTTTTTGCTGTTTTTATAGCTTTGACATCGAAATGTCTACTATCAAAGTGATGACATAATTATCACACCATCTAGCTAAACTAATAAAAGTGTGGTGGATTTTAAGGTAACGTTTACCACTCCTAGGAGGTTGAGCCACGAGTGTTAAAAGTATTCATTGTACGTGTCCACCTTGCGATTATTTTCTGGAAGGAAGATATTCAGGGTGGGAAGTTTTCGGTGTGTCACCCTATATCAGTTAAATTGGTATTGATAGATTTTTTGAGTAAAATTTTTTTTTGCGTTTTTTTTTTTTTAATTCATATAAAGAAAACTTTTATTTCAGCCTTTTTTAACTGTCTTTGAAAAATAATAGTACTTAGTTATAATATAGTATAAAAGAAAATATTTGGCTGTTTTCAAGTAAACACAATTTTAATTAGTTATTTAGAATAAATGTCTAGTTTTTTGTAGTTTTATTAAACAATGATATTCACTAGAAAACAAATATATCTTATATAACATTTTTAATGACCCAAAAAAAATAAATAAAACTGTAGTGTTGCGTATACGCATATACAACCATCACGTGGTTTAACCTAATGCTTAACAAACCTGAAAATTCAACGTCTTTATACTACTATCGCATTTCGGTCTTTTATTCCAAATAAAATCATTTCTCGTTTTTTACGCAACGAGTTTACCCTTGTGGACCTCAGTCTCAATAAGGTGCCAACCACCAATTTAGCCTCTCGAATTTCAATAGTTTTTGGGCTAAAATTAGGATTATAATTTCATATACAGTGAGCATCATAAGTCCCCCTAACTAACTCGTTACTGGGGTCTTGTTAGGAAAATCTCCGAGACAGGTAGATTTTTGATTTCTACAATGTACATTTTTGCATAATTAGTTTACCCTTTCGAAAAATTTAAATGGCATGGGGTGGTGAGTGATAGCTCATTTGAAAGGGGGTTTTATTCTCTATTCAACCGTGCAAAACAATTTGAAATTTGCTGGATTACGTGTTGATTTATTATTGTTTAAAAATAACAAAACCTCACAAAATAGGAAAGCAACTAGACTAACAGTGACCTTCTAATAGCAAAAAGTCTTACTTCACGTCTGAACCAAAACCGAAATCATGCAGGTCCGATTTTTAATTCTAAGGTTGAGTGCACTACGTTAATTTCTGTTATTCTGAAACAACAATTAGTCGAGAATTAATGAAGCAAATTTCAAATTTTTTTACACGGTTGAATAGAGAATAAAACCCTCTTTCAAATGAGCTATCACTCACCACCCCATGTCATTTAAATTTTTCGAAAGGGTTGCTCCCCTCCAGTAAGGGATGAAATTAAGGGTAAACTATTCATACAAAAATGTACATTGTAGAAATCAAAAATCGACATGTCTCGGCGATTTTCCTAACAAGACTCCAGTAACGATAGGGGGGGTAAGACTTATGGTGCTCACTGTATATAAACTGGTTTTTTTTACTTACTTTTATTTACTTAAGATAATATTAGTTGAGTTTTTCTGGCAAATCGTAGGAGTCTTAAAAATACTGTTTGTCCGAGTTTCATGCATTATTTTTTGTTCGAAGGTGCGTAGATATTATTATAAAACAAAATTAAAAAAATAAAATCTAAAATGATGTTATATCCGATTTCTTTTATAACTAAAATGGCTGTGATATATACGAATAAATTATATTCTTGATAATAATTAGGCATTCGAACGACCTGTCCAAATGGCTGCTCATTGGCTTTGACAGGATCAGTGATATATACAGGAGTGTGTTTAGAAACCACGCACGGCGCGTCTGGACCCTATTCTAATGTATGTGGTCAGACGCGCGGGTACCAGGTTTCTAAACGCACTCCAGTGTCAGCCACTGAACATTTTCCAATACGCTATGCACAAGTGCCTAAAAATGACGTTTTTTTTGACACCTTTGAATAAAACAACACGATATAATCAGATTAAAAACAAAAATCAAGGTGAAATTTGAATTTTGATGAGTAGTAATCTGTATTTACAGTAGAAGGCGTAGTAATTGCTTATTTTTAGGCCTTCTATTCTTATGCAAAAATGTCCGAGATATTAAAATTTTCGTTAAAAAATGGGTTATGAAAAGTACAACCTTTCATAAGTAAAGAAAATCTCATAATAATTTCAAGGTTGTGAAATTTTTGTGTTATTACCGCAGTAGATTGTATATTAGATACTAGGTATACTATTATTATAATTTATATATTACGTTATGCATGAAAACCAAAATAAAAATATATTTTTGATATCATGTGAAAAGCATATTGTTATTTTCAATTATATCTAATAATTAAAATGGTTTGATAAATACACAACACTTGTATTTATATAATCATTTTTTAAGATGTTAAAAAAGTTTAGTGGAATCAAATAAAAAAAATACTGTCTATAAAATGTGATATCTATCTTTAAAAATGGATAAGGGAAAAGTAGGTCAAGTACATAGATATTTGTACCTACCTATAAATGTGTGGTACTTTACTTTTTATGGTATTTTTTTATGATAATGATTTTGATTGCTTAGGTATTCTCGTAAGTGAAGAACTTAAAAATAATTTCCAGTGTATCCTCTTGACCATTTATAGGTATATTTAAAATGTTTTAAAAGTAAAATCTACTTAATAGTACTACATTACAAAAACAATACGAGTATACGTCAAAGCGAACAGTGTGAATATAAGAGGCTTGGTTGCGAAGGGATTTTCACAGATGCAGATTCTGTGAACTGGAAATTTTGAGAACATACTCTGCAAAAGAATGCCAGTAGCTCTCAAAAATATAGAACAGTGGTGCAAGAACCATTCCCTGTTTATCAATTACAAGAAGACAAAAATAGTCCTTTTCACAAGGAAAAGGTTGAGGAATTAAAACCTCCAGAGTTCTTAAACACAAAACTAAACTTTGTAACAGATGTAAAGTACCTAGGTCTTTGAGAACAAGTTAAAATCAAACTCACACTTAGACAACAGAGTCAAAAGAGCGTGCATTGCTTATGTACAATGCCGCCGAACCGTGGGACGCACGCAAGGTTTCTCACCTAAAGTCATCACATGGACTTACACGGTCATCATAAGACCTATATGCTAACATACGGTGCAGTTGTCTGGGTACCGAGAACCCAAAAATAATTAGCTTTCCACAAACTAGAACAAATTCAAATAACAGCTCATAACATAAGCCATGAAAACCACACCAATCAAAGCCAAGGAAGTCATTCTTAGTTTTACTTTCCTTGATATTTACATCAAGGTTGCTCTAATGACAATGTCATACTTACTTACAGTTAGAATAGAATCCGGTAGGATCTGGTGAGGCAAGACGTTGCTTTTGGCAGGAGGCGCTCGATGCGATCTCACGGCTTTAAGCGAACATGGGCTCTATCTCACTGAGATATATCTTCCATAAGCCATATAAAATTATAACAACAAACAAAAGAGCCGAAAGTGACAGGAACAATTTATATCTACACCGATGGTTCTAAAACAAAACAAGTCTCAGAATGTGGAATATTCTCCAGATCCTTAAATCTAAACATAAAATGGGCTGTGATCAATAGTGCCAGTGTAGTTTAAATCAAGCTCACGGAGATTCTCATAGGAGCAAAAGAAATCACCAGAAATAATATCACCGAAAGGAACATGGTCATCCATGCAAATAGCAGACAAGCACTGCTTATCCTAAACAAACCACGAATTTACTCAGGGTTAGTACTAGAATATCACGAAGCTTTGGCCAAAGTATCCAACATCAATATGGTATCCTTAAGATGGATCAAAGGTCACGCTACATCGAAAAGTAACCGTCTTGCTGATTTAGTAGCCAATAAAGTATCCAACCAAATACTTATTTGACCTGAGCCTTCTATTAGAATGACAACATGGGTAGTGACAGACCTAATTAAAGAACATTCCCTTGTGAAATTCATTCTACAAATAGGATGAAACAAGAAACTGCAGAGTTGCCAAGGACATTGTGAGTCATCCTGACAACACTACAGCAAACAAATACTATGAGTAAACAGAATTTGTGCCTGATCACAGGCTTTCTGACTGGTCATGGCCAAGTACGGAAGCATCTCCATATCATGGGGTTGCACTCTGCACTGCACTCTGCAGGGGGTGCGTACAAGAAGATGAAACTATCGAGCATATCCTCTATGATTTCCCGACGCTCTCATTTATTAGAAGTTTTATAATTAGCGAGTATCGGCTAACACCGATCGATATAAGAGAAGCACATCTGGCGACGTCTTCAACTACATTAAATCTGTAGGCTGGCTCACGAGGTGAATGGCAGGAGGTGCCTATCTTCTTAGGAGGATGCACACTGGGCTTAGTAATGTTTTAGTGCCAAAGGGGTAACCCACCCTCCACCTGTTACACACACAGATAGGTCAACCTTGCGCTGACGTAGTCATTTCTTTGTTACTAGAGTACCGTCAATGCTTTTTCATAATTTCCATTATTTCTTTTGTTTTCATTTTCCTAAGGGCCAGTTTTTTCACCTCTTAGTAAAGTTGAAAGTAACTACTTGCTAATTCATCTATAGGGCTATTGATTGTTAATCTGTCAAGTAAACCTACATGTAACTTTACTCAGAGGTGTAAAGATCGGCCCTAAAGTGCATAAAATAGAGTATAAACTATGGGACTGAAGTGTATTTTTATTTATTTTTAGTTGTTGGTATATAGTTTAGAAACATCTGATCCAAGGTTCGGGATTCAAATCCCTGTTCAAGCTTTTTTTTTTCAGTTTCATTTTATTATCAGTCAAATTCATAATTAATATGTTAATATGCTTCTTACTTACGTTTGTTAAATTAATTTGTTCTTTATTTGGAATTTTTCTTTCTGAACAATACATGTATTTTTATTTATTTTAAATATATTTAAGCAAATCATTGATTTTAATTTAAGATAAGTAGTAAATAATACTACCCAGAAACTTTAATTGGAATATCCAATTCATCAAAATATTTGATGGCAAAACCCACAATTTTTAAAAATCGCAATTTTTGCATTTCTTTTTTTTAAGTTAATACCTACTTCTAACGATTAAATGGCGTCTTGACAAATTATAGAAAAAATCTTTTTTTTTTTTAATATTTTTTGTACCTCTACAAGCTAACACTTTGTTTAAAACATAAATTATCTACAACAATAGAATTAATTCATTGGCGATAAGCTACTAATTACCTAGTTAAAATTATGAGAAGTCACTATGATTTTAACTTAAAAGTAGGTAATATATTCTCACTATCTAAAATTCTGATATTGAAATAATAATTATCATTGTAAATGTCCTTCTGATTTTATAAAAATTCCATTATAGGTACGTATCTTTTTGTTAACAAAAAATAATAATAATATTACTGCTCTCATTGGTATTCCAACAAACATTTTGTGTAAAGGGAATAAAAGCCTCATTAATTGTTACCCATCACTTTGTTCCTCCATTTATAAACAAGTTTTGTACTCGTTATTTGTTTATGGCACCAAATTTTATTAAATCTATTAGTAGTATGTATTTGTGGCTTCAAAAGACAGTTAAAACAGTTTATTTATAATACTAATAGGTCTACTACCAATTTGAAAACTGAACAATTGTAAAAAATATTGCTAGTCTTATGTCGTTTTTTTTATAATTATTTAATTATTATTAGATTTCTATAAACTAATCACATTTTATCATGTTTTTCTGAATTTTTATAGTTCATTTTTTAGTAAATTTTTATAGATCTAAATTTTACCATGTTTTTATATTTAAAACTGAAACAAGTGTCTAGGCACTTATCGGTATTGTAGCTTTATTTTGATACTTGTTTGTTTGTAAACTACTCAATTGTTTTCAATAAAGCACATTACTATTTTATTATTATTAATTATAATGATGACCATTTAACTTTTATCATTAAAAGGTCACTACCTCTGACAGTCGGCCCGAAGTAACTTAGCCATCAAATCCATTTAATAGGCCTCAATCAATGAATTGACTGGCAATTAATGGGCTATTGATAGGAAGTTAACGATAAAGTGCAGGCCTTTTACCATATAGATACTAACTGCTGAATAAAAGGCCATGTGTCAGGAAAATGACCAGACAGACGATTCGATAGTGCCTCTTTGACCAGTAGTACCGTTTGAACTAAAACAGAAGGCATTCCAATTTAAAATATTATAGAAATTTTATTTAATTTAGCTATATAATATAAAAATGTCTTCTACAAAAAGTTTATTCATGAAATATTCTAATTTAACAACATGTAAAAGTAAGAAATTATAATGAATACTGAATAGTAAATACCACAATCCGAGACTGACCGCATAGTACCTACTTGTTGAGTATGTAGCAAGCGATCATCTATGAACGCGCGACGGGTCTGCGGCAGTTAAAAGACTTTTGGCTTTCACCATCCTTTTACCCAGTACAGTTACTTACCCTTCATAAGGCCATCATCAACCAACATAATGCTGAGCCACTATCGAAAGACCAATAGTAGGTTTTTATCTTTTAATCGTCGTATTCATTATCCCATTAATTTCAGCAAAAGGCCAGCAATATCCCAGTAAATCACTGTTTGATGGGATTAATTTAAATTACAGGAGGTATATTGTAGAAAGAGGTCATGGATGTTAATGCACGTAGATAATATAGATCAGTAAATCGGTGATACCTAATATGCTAGGTATTAAAAAAAACATGGCATAAATAATGGAAATCTGTACCCTAGGTTCAAAAAAAAACTATAATATACAGGGAGATCCTTTTAAAAAAGCAAACTTAGCGTCATTTCCAGTAAAACTTAAAGTCTTTATGCGTCGATTCGAAATTATGTCTAGTTAGTTTGTTCAAAATTTGATTAAAATCGCTTAATATACAGTGTCTACTTAAGTTGGAACCATATGGAAAACATTTTTATTATTGATTTTAGGAAAAAAAGTTATTCTTGATAAAAAGTCCTGCATGACCCAAAACTTAAAATACAGTCATCAGATATCAAATTTTTCAAGCCGTATACGAGGTTTGTCAAAAAATATGAATTTTGCTCAAGAGTAAAGTACTGTATAAAAGAGATAATAATTTAACCCATAATTTTAACTATAACAGTCTATAACAAAACAAATTGGGTCTCTCTTAACTTTAGACCTCAAGTTTTTGAAATCAATTCTTTCTGGCAAAAGTAAGAATGCCATAAAATACAGGGCATTCTATTTAAGAAAAAGAGATGATGTACTCTTTAGCTGTCGGACGCCATTGTATTTTTCATTAAATATTAAAAAAAAAAAACTATTTAAGGGCAAATGTCGATAAACCAGTTAAACCAGTAAAACCTATTAAAGTTTTAACAATTTTCCTCTTGTAGTACTTAGCGTGATGACTGAAAAACTACGAGAGTCTTGCAAGTTTCGCAGCTTTATAAACCGTGTCACTTATTCCATATTTTTTTTTGAAACCTTTTAATACTGACATTAAAATTATTGATTTTTTTAGAAGGAATCCCCTTCTTTGAATACCGAAGTTCCAAATACCTTCCTAAAAAACCTAGGCTTATTTTTATACCTACGAATTAAAACTAGGTTGGGTTAAAGTGATTAAGTTACCTACAGATTTTTCATTAAGAAGATCACATTAGATATATCTATTTCAATTTAACACACTATGTCGTAAACGGGCCGTAGAAAAATTATAGTGTTTACATACCAAAGATAATTTTTAAAACTCAAGATTAGCAGCTATCTTGGTGGTAAAGTGTTCTCTTGCTTCAAAAACTTTTATTTTCATCTTATTTTGGATTAAATTTATATTTTTTTATATTTTGTTTCATCGTTATATTATCATTATTTAACCTATTTTTTAACAATATTGTTTGAAATTTTATTAATTATTTATTAAAATCTAGATTGTTATAAAAAATTATTCAATTAGGTAGGTCGGGACAGAGAAGAGTATGTACGTCACAAAACCCGCGCATCTGGTATGGTTGCTTGAGATAAGCCAATAGCGAAACCAAAATATGCATTAAGAGCCTCTTGATTCTCATATAGATGCCCAAAAATTTAACGCCCCTATAACTCTAGCTAATCGACACATGGTAACGTCTAACAACAGCGCCAATAAGTCTTCTGCGCATCGTGACGTGAATTTAAAATCTAAGGCTCTTGTATAAACATGTTTATTATCAACTAAAATTGATTATAAATAGATATTAAACTTCTAACCTTTGACCATTTTTACAATAGCTAGATAAAATTTCTCTTGGCAATACTCAATACGGTATCTCTCAACTTCCTTCTATGATTAGGACCCAATAAATCCTTTCTTGTCCAATCAGAATCCTCAAAATTTTCAGCAGTGTTCGTAACAATCCCTCGTTCAGTGCAAATAGGTTTTAACATCACCAAAATATGATAGATTTCGGTTTTACTAACCTCTTCGAACTCTTTTTGAAATTTCTTCCAAGAAAATAATTCCAGATCTACTGGATAATCACTCAAAGCACTAATGAAAGCATCGTAGTATATTTTAATAAATTCTTCAAAACATTCATCTAGGACAGTATTAATAACACTAGTGAATAGAAAAAATGCCAAATCTTTGGCTGCTGAAGCATATCCAATTAATTGCAAGTCTAAAATTTTGTTTTCGACATACCTGCCATCTTTTTTAAGAATCATTGTATTGCTTGTCCAAAAATCACTGTGACAAAATGTTGCCCAAGGTTCGTTAGGGGATGGGGGGATTGGGTGATTCAAACAATAGTCACAAATTTTTTGAATTTTATCCAAGTATGGTAAAAGTTCTGGACAATCTCTAGCCCCTTCCATGATGCTGTTGTGAAAAACTATAGCTATATCAGATACCTGTTCCAGGCCTTTGTTTTGTACTAAGCAAGGTCTAATCTTCTCATCAAAAACAGCTGGTTTTAATAGTTTCAAAGCTATTGGCGTAGCATGGAATCTAGCCAACTCTTTTAAAATTAACCTCACTGCACCGGCTTCAAAACCTTTTAGTCTATCTTCTGTATAGAAACCTTGAACTTTGAGATTTTCAAAAAGCAAAACTCCGTGGTCATCTACTTCGTTATTTTTAAAATCTTTGTTAGTCCTTGCTCCATAGCATTTTGGAAACAGTTTGTCGTACGACTTATCTTCAGGTATAGAATATTCTCTTTGAAATTGGACTAAAGCTGGTATAGCTTCGGAATAGGCTAGGACTTCCTTTTTGAAAGTAACGTATACATCGAACACTTTACGAAGCATTGCGTTAGCTGGTAGAAGTTTTGCTATTAAGGAAATAGTTTTTTCCTCTTGATCACCTTTTGTTGATCGTAGTTTTAAATCTACAGCTAGAATTATCGATCCGTAATGTTCACCAGGAGCTGTAGCTGCACTAATTTTTTCTTCCAAAATTTCATATTCATCTTTTAAATATCCAATTAATAATTTATCTAGGTCTTGTATTTTTATTGTTGCCATTTTTACATCAACGATTAGTTGCACTTGAAATTGCTACTATTATCAATGCTATTTATTATCTACGTTATCACTTATAGTTATTATTTCACTGTTACTATCAAAGGGAACATGCAATACTGACTGGTTTCGGTATGGGGTCCGGGTTATTTGAAAACAATGGGAGGACGAGCTAAAAAATTATCGGTTGTCGGTACGTAATTGTTTCTAACAGGTGTACCGGAAGAAATAAAAATTAATTCAAGCTATTTTAAATTCAGTAATTTCATGCTTAGATTTATTAAGAGGATTCAATATGTTATACATAAACAAAAACGTATGCAAAACTAAATATTAATAAAAGTATCAAATTTATTCAAAACAAGATTATGCTTATGTATTTAGTTCATAATACAATACCTGCTTTTTATACAAGGTGGTCCACAAAACACGTAGGTACGTATTTCGAAAAAATTATTAGCGAAATATTTTAAAGTACCATATATACTATTTATTATTAAATTAAAAAATGCCATTAGTTTTGACCTATCCTGGTCATCACTAGTTCTGAGAAAAAAAAAAGTACATGTAAATTATTAATGATTGGAAATAGATATGAAGAATATTTTACCGGTGTGAAGTTAGCAGCCACTTTCCAGCAGCCCGTTTACCGGAAACACCCGAGTTACCAGCGTCGTGTATTGAAATAAAATTAATACTAAATTTTTAAGAAACAAATAAAAAGTGTTTAGAGAAAGGATTAAGGGGTAAACTGAAATAAAAATTCATTAAAAAATCAATTTTTCTATAAAGATAACAGAATATTAAAATAAAAATAGTGTCAAATTGTTAAAAACTATCAAATACAACCTAAAAAAATTAACAAAATCACTTAGGAAGTGTATGAAGGGGTCAAATTAAATAAAATTCCATTAAAAATCTATTTAAAAATTAATTTACCTAAGAATACAATCTAGTATTGAAATAAAGTTAGTGCCAAATTGTTAGAAATTACAATATACAACCTAAAAAAATTAACATAATCACTTAGGAAGGAGACGAGGGGGTCTAATTAAATAAAATTCCATTAAAAATCTATTTAAAACTTAATTTGCTTATGAAGACAATTGGGTATTGAAATAAAGTTAGTGCCAAATTGTTAAAAACTATAATATACAACCTAAAAAATTTAACAAAATCACTTAGGAAGGGGATGAGGGGGTCAAATTAAATAAAATTCCATTAAAAATCTATTTAAAAATTAATTTGCCTATAAAGACAATTGGGTATTGAAATAAAGTTAGTGCCAAATTGTTAGAAACTATAATATACAACCTAAAAAAATTAACAAAATCACTTAGAAAGGGGATGAGGGGGTCTAATTAAATAAAATTCCATTAAAAATCTATTTAAAAATTAATTTGCCTATGAAGACAATTGGGTATTGAAATAAAGTTAGTGCCAAATTGTTAGAAACTATAATATATAACCTAAAAAAATTAACAAAATCACTTAGGAAGGGTATGGGGGTCAAATTAAATAAAATTCCATTAAAAATCTATTTAAAAATTAATTTGCCTATGAAGACAATTGGGTATTGAAATAAAGTTAGTGCAAATTGTTAGAAACTATAATATACAATCTAAAAAATTTAACAAAATCACTTAGGAAGGGGATGAGGGGGGTCAAATTAAATAAAATTCCATTGAAAATCTATTTAAAAATTAATTTGCCTGTGAAGACAATTGGGTATTGAAATAAAGTTAGTGGCCAAATTGTTAGAAATTATAATATACAACCTAAAAAATTTAACAAAATCACTTAGGAAGGGGATGAGGAGGTCAAATTAAATAAAATTCCATTAAAAATCTATTTAAAAATTAATTTGCCTATGAAGACAATTGGGTATTGAAATAAAGTTAGTGCCAAATTGTTAGAAACTATAATATACAACCTAAAAAAATTAACAAAATCACTTAGGAAGGGGATGAGGGGGTCTATTTAAATAAAATTCCATTAAAAAATCTATTTAAAAATTAATTTGCATATGAAGACAATTGGGTATTGAAATAAAGTTAGTGCCAAATTGTTAGAAACTATAATATACAACCTAAAAACATAACAAAATCACTTAGGAAGGGGATGAGGGGGTCTAATTAAATAAAATTCCATTAAAAATCTATTTAAAAATTAATTTGCCTGTGAAGACAATTGGGTATTGAAATAAAGTTAGTGTCAAATTGTTAGAAACTATAATATACAACCTAAAAAATTTAACAAAATCACTTAGGAAGGGGATGAGGGGTCTAATTAAATAAAATTCCAATAATACTCTATTTAAAAATTAATTTGCCTATGAAGACAATTGGGTATTGAAATAAAGTAAGTGTCAAATTGTTAGAAACTATAATATACAACCTAAAAAATTTAACAAAATTACTTGGGAAAGAGATGAGGGGGTCAAATTAAATAAAATTCCATTAAAAATCTATTTAAAAATTAATTTGCCTATGAAGACAATTGGATATTGAAATAAAGTTAGTGCCAAATTGTTAGAAACTATAATATACAACCTAAAACAATTAACAAAATCACTTAGGAAGGGGATGAGGGGGTCTAATTAAATAAAATTCCATTAAAAAATCTATTTAAAAATTAATTTGCATATGAAGACAATTGGGTATTAAAATAAAGTTAGTGCCAAATTGTTAGAAACTATAATATACAACCTAAAAAAATTAACCAAATCACTTAGGAAGGGTATGAGGAGGTCAAATTAAATAAAATTCCCTTAAAAATCTATTTAAAAATTAATTTGCCTATGAAGACAATTGGGTATTGAAATAAAGTTAGTGCCAAATTGTTAGAAACTATAATATACAACCTAAAAAATTTAACAAAATCACTTAGGAAGGGGATGAGGGGGTCAAATTAAATAAAATTCCATTAAAAATCTATTTAAAAATTAATTTGCCTGTGAAGACAATTGGGTATTGAAATAAAGTTAGTGGCCAAATTGTTAGAAATTTTAATATACAACTTAAAAACATAACAAAATCACTTAGGAAGGGGATGAGGGGGTCTAATTAAATAAAATTCCATTAAAAATCTATTTAAAAATTAATTTGCCTATGAAGACAATTTGGTATTGAAATAAAGTTAGTGTCAAATTGTTAGAAACTATAATATACAACCTAAAAAATTTAACAAAATCACTTAGGAAGGGGATGAGGGGTCTAATTAAATAAAATTCCATTAATAATCTATTTAAAAATTAATTTGCCTATGAAGACAATTGGGTATTGAAATAAAGTTACTGTCAAATTGTTAGAAACTATAATATACAACCTAAAAAATTTAACAAAATCACTTGGGAAAGAGATGAGGGGGTCAAATTAAATAAAATTCCATTAAAAATGTATTTAAAAATTAATTTGCCTATGAAGACAATTGGATATTGAAATAAAGTTAGTGCCAAATTGTTAGAAACTATAATATACAACCTAAAACAATTAACAAAATCACTTAGGAAGGGGATGAGGGGGTCTAATTAAATAAAATTCCATTAAAAATTAATTTGCCTATGAAGACAATTGGGTATTGAAATAAAGTTAGGGCCAAATTGTTAGAAACTATAATATACAACTTAAAAAATTTAACAAAATCACTTAGGAAGGGGATGAGGGGGTCAACTTAAATAAAATTCCATTAAAAATCTATTTAAACATTAATTTGCCTAAGAAGACAATTGGGTATTGAAATAAAGTTAGTGCCAAATTTTCAGAAACTATAATATACAACCTAAAAAAGTTAACAAAATCACTTAGGAAGGGGATGGGGGTCAAATTAAATAAAATGTCATTAAAAATCTATTTAAAAATTAATTTGACTAAGAAGACAATTGGGTATTGAAATAAAGTTAGTGCCAAATTGTTAGAAACTATAATATACAATCTAAAAAATTTAACAAAATCACTTAGGAAGGGTATGAGGGGGTCAAATTAAATAAAATTCCATTAAAAATCTATTTAAAAATTAATTTTCCTATGAAGACAATTGGGTATCCAAATAAAGTTAGTGCCAAATTGTTAGAAACTATAATATACACTCTAAAAAATTTAACAAAATCACTTAGGAAGGGGATGAGGGGGTCAAATTAAATAAAATTCCTTTAAAAATCTATTTAAAAATTAATTTGCCTATGAAGACAATTAATTGGGTATTGAAATAAAGTTAGTGCCAAATTGTTTATAATATACAACCTAAAAAAATTAACAAAATCACTTAGGAAGGGGATGAGGGAGTCAAATGAAATAAAATTCCATTAAAAATCTATTTAAAAATTGTTAGAAACTATAATATACAACCTAAAAATTGAGAAGGTATAAGGTAAACACACAAAGTTTAAAGTATAGAACATCAAAAATTAGAAAAAAATTATTAAGATAATTTGTTACTAATTCCTAAACAAATTGATATTGTACAACAAATTTTTCACATTAGATAATTTTTCAATTGTAAATGAGAAGGTATAAGCTAAATACACAAAACTAACAGTATAGACTATCAAAAATTAGACAAACGCCTAGACTTAGAAAAAAAATTATTAAGTCAATTTGTTACTAATTCAATAACAAATCGATTTGGTACAACAAATTTTTCACAATAGACAAATTTTCAGTTTTTAAATGAGAAGGTATAAGGTGAACACCAAGAGAGAAAAATGTAAAAAAGGGTTTTTGGTTTGGTGATTTTAATTTTAAATTAATAAAAAAAGTGCTTAGGAGTGCTGTTTTTACAATTTCTATATCGACGGAAGTCCTGGGTAAAATACTTTACCCATTTTTTAAATTGTAGTCAATAGTTTAAACAATTTGGCACTAACATTATTTCAATACCAAATTGTCTTCATAGAAAATTTAATTTTTAAGGTAGTTCACTCGTAAAACGGCTTTTCTTAAGAATTCAAGAAAATTTAAATATAAGGTTTATGAAAGTGTCGTTTACGTAACTAAAAAAATTAGATTTTTTGACCATCTGTGAAACGAGATATTAACAATCAAAATGTCCATAATTAACACTCTTAAAGCCTATCATGTACACAAGCAATGTATTTATTTCAAGATATCTCGAAAACGGTTCTTACCATATTTTTTAAAA